AAAAAAAAAAAAAAAAAAGAAGAAGTTATTGGCTGAGTAAGAAGGCACACTTTTAACTAGTTTGCCTGGAAAACGTTATACTGAATGGCTTAGGAAAGAAGGGTAGCAATGACTCGTTTGGGTGATTAGTTTAGTTATACATATCAGTGTCTCATACTAGTCATGTGGTTTCGGCAATAGATTATTAAGACTCTTATTATTTGACCAAGTAAAAGTTAATAAAAGTGTTAGTTCCAAATTTTAATAATTTAGTTAACTCCTTATTAGCATAAATATGTATTTTCCATATGTAGTAATGCTTAATTTCTGTTGTTTCTTTTTCTTTGTTGTCATTATTATTGTTAATGTTTTGTTTTGAGTGTATGTGTATGTGCTTGTAAATCCTGAAAAACAAAGAGCTTTGATTTGTCTTTAATTCTTTTTTTTTTTTTTTTTTTTAAAGTTTCTTTCTTTCTTCCATGAGCGAGAAAGGGAGAGAGGGAGAGCATGAGCCGATACCCTTGATAGGTTCTGGATACTGTGATCCTCCATTCATTAGCCTGCCCTGGGTCTCTAGACTGGGACTAGGAATGTTCCCAGGTGGGATTGCCTTCCTGAGCTTTACATTTTATTGCTCTGCCCCTGTCCACCTCCACCTTAAATTCCTATTTATTTATTTAGATTTTTGGTATAGTGTACATGTGTTCACCAAAGAGAGAGAGGGAGAGACAGACAGAGGGAACGTGAAGAATCAGCCCCCATGGGGATGGCCACACCACAATCCTTTCTTCTCTGTTCTCTAAGTGCCCAGCATGATTTTCAGGTTACCAAGTTTAAGACTCGAACCATGGTCAGCCATGTTGGAATCCAGTGCCTTAACTGCTATACCACCTGGTCCTCCCCTCTGCCACTCACCATCTTAAATTCTTTTTTTTTTTTGGAGAGGTTTTTGCTATAGGGCGTGTGCGCTCACCAGAAAAACAGAGAGAGACAGAGAGACAGAAAGTGAGAAATCACCCCCCAGGAGGATGGCCACACTGCAATCCCCTTTCCTCCATTCTCCTCCTGGGAGCTTAGGTACGCACGCACGCACGCTCGGTGTGAGTTTAAGCCACTGGGTCCAGGACTTGAACCATGCTTGACTACATGGGAGTCCAGCGACATAGCCATTATGCCAACTGCTGGTTCCAACCATCTTAAATTCTTAGTGGCAAAGGAAGGTACTTTTTTTTTTTTTTAAATGCTATAGGGCTCATGTGCTTGCCAGAGAAACAGAAAGCGAGAAGTCAACCCCATGGGAGATAGCCACACTGCAATCCCTTCTCCATTCTTCTCTTGGGATCTTGGGCTCTCATGCACACATTCCTGGCGTGAGTTTTTCATCCCTCCTCCTAAGAATTATTTTATTTAGCTTTATTTATTATTTTATCAGATAGAGGACGAGGGGGAGAGAGAGAGAGAAAGTAAGTAAGCTGCCGGGTTTCGGACTTGAACCAGGTCGGCTACATGGGAGTCCAGTGATAAAACCATTATGCTATCTGCTGGTTCTGAGGAATGTACTATCTATAAGGGGAAGTTATTTGCTTTATTTAATTAATTAATTTATTTTTTAGAGATAATTTTGCTGTAGGGCGAATGAGCTTACAAGAGAGACAGAGAGAAAAAGTGAGAAATCATTTGCCAAGGTGGATGGCCATGCTGCAATCCCTTCTCCGTTTCCCTCTTGGGACTTTGGGCATGCATGCACACACACCTCTTCCTCCCCACCATCCCCCACACGTGAGTTTTGAGCTGCTGGGTCTGGCAGTGGAACTGCTGTTGGCCGGTGGGAACCCAGCACCTTAGATACTACGTCACCTGCCAGCCCTGGTTATGGATTCTTAACCAAGACAAATTGCTGTTTGTTTTTGAACTGTTAAAATTTTGATCATATTATACAGTAAAATTTAAGATAGAGAATGCTATATTGAAAAACAAAATCAAGATACAATAGTTTAAACTTTTTTTCAATCAGTTCCATTAATATTTGCTCACAAGATGATAATATGTATTATGTTTCTTTATGTAATTGAATACCTCTAAAACTTAAATTGCTTTTCAAGTTTTAAAATTACTTGTCAGTTTACTCACTGTTGATCATAACACCTTATACATATGATAGAACCAAGGTTTTTTTCTATGTGTTTTTTTTGTTATTGTTTTGCTAAGGGTACATGGCCTCACCAAAGAGAGATGGGGGAACAGAGAGTCAGAAATCATCCCCCAGGGGAGATGGCCACACTGCAATCCTTTCTTCTCCATTCTCCCTTTGACCATGGGCATGAGTGCACACAAGCCTGGTGTAATTTTCAAGCCATCAGGTCCAGGGCTCAAGCAATAGTTGACCATTGTGGGAGTCTGGTGCCTCAACCAACATGTTGTGAAATTTAATATAAACTTTATTTAAATTAAATGATGAGTGTAATAGCACATTGCTTGCTGTTCATATGTATTTAAACAGTAAAAATGACATGGTGGAAAAGCGAAATTTAGTTTTGAATTCTTGTCCTAGATGAGTCACTTAGTCACTTATGTGCTGTTAGTCAAGTTCCTTCACCACTCAGAGCATTAAATGTCTTAGCTTTTGGGCCTAGCTGTGATGATGTGCATTGCTAAAATGCTGTGTCATCAGGCTGGGATCATGTGGGAGGCTCGAGTTTGATTCCTGATCCAACTTAATGTCTTTTTGCATGCCTGTAGTCCCAGCTGAGAGACTGAGGCAGGAGGATCTTGACATGGTGAGACCCTGATTTAAAAAAAATTTTTTTTTAATTCCTAGCTTATTAAACAGACAGAATCTCTACTGCTTATCTTAGAGGTTTATTGTGAGTGTCAGAATTGATGTGAATGCTAAGGTGTTCAAGTTTCTTTTAAAATACCAAAGTGTGTTTCTGGGATATGGATGGTAAAACTTTTTTCCAGCTAAATACATTTTGAGGGTTAATGATATTTTATCTGTGCTTTTCTTCTTAGGCAAGAAAACACATCTTACAGATCCATACTAGGGACTGGAATCCAAAATTGTCAAATGCTTTTTTAGGTGAATTGGCTGAAAAATGTGTTGGTGAGTGGCTACCATTTGAATTTTTTGATTGTCATTGTTCTGCTCAGCCTCCTTCCCCCTAATGTGTGGAATATGAATGATATTAGTTATGCCTTTGATTGTACAATAGGTGGCTTTGCCTTTGATATTTAAAAGTTTTTTAAAAATATTTCACTTCAACTTCAAATACTTCTAAATTAGAATTTCAACTGACATTAGATACTTGATTAACGAAGCTCAGTAGTAACATGCCTTTCATTTGAGTGCTGGGTATCCGTAATACCACTACAGTGTCTCCTTTTAGGAATTGCCTTCTCTCAGAAATTTTGCTAAGAAAAATAAGCCTAAAGATGAGAGAGAAAGGTTGCTATGAAAAGCTGGACTGCAGTCTTTTACTTTGCTGATCACACAGTAGGTTCATCTTCATTCCTGTACTCTAGAAAGAAGTTGGGTGGGAGGGGTCTCCAAAGAAAATACGTAAGTGTTTCTGGTACTATTTCCCAAAATATGAAACTTCCCAGTTTAAGTGCTTTACAGAATTAAAGATCTCGCCACAGAGTGAACGAATGCTACTGTCTTAAAAGGACATGGCGAAAGCATTTATATATATACATGGTCATACATAGGAGATAGAGTTAAGGGTTTTGGCTCTTAATTAGGTCTGAAGTAAAAAGAGAGTGCTAAGTAACCGAATATTATATACACACAATTCTTTTTCATTTTTTCCCTCTTTTATCTTGTTTTCTTTTCATTCTCTTAAAAATAATAGTTAAAAGTCTCTCTTCATGAACTTTTTAAGCAGTATGAAGAAATCCTCCAAAAATGTCCCACTAATAGCAGCAATCTACTTGAGAAAATTTTAAAGTTACCAAAACCAAAAAGAACAACTTAGTTTAAAAAGTCACTGTGATCCACCATCAGATAATTAAAACTTAAATAGAACATTAGTCCATTCAGTTAGCTACATCCGAATTATCCTCTTCATCCACAGGGACCTCCATCTCCGAAGCAGCATCCCTCAGCTTTTGAACCACAAAGACCTCGACATCTTCTGGTGAGGAGAAAAACGTAAATCTCTCCAGCACTACTCCAGTTTAAGCTTTGCGTGGTATAAGAGAGCATGCGCCAAACCCATTTCATGTAAATTTGGCTTGACCTTTGCAAAGCCTCGTGCTGCTTTATGGGAGAGGGTGGTATTTGGTACGAAGTCCAGTCTTTCCCCTTTTTGAAATTTGACCCCTTTTACTTATGATATTATTGTATTAGAGTTTAGATCAGACTGGAAAGTCTTGACAGATTTTTCTGTGAATATGTCACAGAGCGGTCCTTAACCGAAATAAACAGAAGTCTTCAAGTAATTTTGGGAATTCTCTAAAAGAGAAGTATTCTAAACTTAAAATCTAGTACCCTATCTGCCATCTGGAATATTTTATACTCTAGATTAATTCTTCATCCCAAATCTTAGAATCTTAGTGTCCTTTTGCATTTCCGAAGGCCAGTACTTTTCATTTTTGTAAGTGATTTATTTTAGCTTTTAGTCAGTTTCTTAAGGTTTAAAATTTTTACAACACAATTTCTTACAGGAGTGAAGAACTTTTCTTGCCTTTTTTTTTTTTTCCTGTGAGGTAGTGGTATGTGTACAGAATCTATTTATATTCCATTTCTTTTTGACTAGTGACATCAAATCTATTATAATAAAATGACTTCTGATTTTTATTAGGCATTTATTCCATTGAAGAAACCAGTTTACGTTAAAAAAAAAAGCCAAATGCAGATTCAGGAATGAGATAGTAATACATTTTAAATACATTATGAACTCATCAGTCTATGTATCCCAAACATATTTTAACATGAACAGGTTTAGTTTGGTGAAAATTCTGCCTAACAAAAGTGTGCGCCGTCTTTGATGAACAACTGCAAAAATAGCTGGCCTCTCTTGTGAGAGAATATGGATTTGGTAACTTTTACCTTGAAATAAATTCCCAAGCCCTTGGAGGTTTTTGTATGAATAATGGGTATGATCTTTTAATAGTGAAAATCTTTTCACTATACATTGATATGAAGAACATTTGTACAAATAGAAGGAGCTTATGGTTAATAATGAGTTCAACTCTAATATTTCTCTATTCCATTTTCAATGAGAGGGCTAAAACAATGAAATCAGTGAATTGTCTCTTATAGGCCTTCATTGAGTTTGATGTACTTTAAAGAAAAACTTGATAAAATTTTGTTATGGCCTCATTTATAGATTTATCTCTTTAGCAGCTATATTTTTAGTTTTAAAAAAAATTTCTATCTCAAGTAATCAAGAATGTTCTTCCTTTGATATCTAGATCTTTGTGTTCAGTGGAGTGTTAGGACTGTAATGATAGAATTAATATGACTATGTAAAGGATGTTTATAATTTCATTAATACCAACTTGAACTCTTAAAATACTACAGTATATTTTCAGTATTACTGGAATGATTAAATCATTTATTTTCTAAGCCTAGATCTTTTTAGAGAGTTAAGATGTGCTATTAATTACATTAGGACAAGAGGCTTAACCAGGACATTTGGTACCCAAAGTATAACCCACTTAAGCCATGGTTATGATGTTCTTTTAATTCTCTATTTTAGTAGTACTCAAATATTTTTATGTATATCACAGTCACTTCTAAAACTTTCTCAAAGTACACAGTTAGGATTTGAAGTCACCAGAGATTTGTGGGTCTTGGGAATCTTGTTTGTTTCAGTTGCATTGTTTATTCAGGTGGATATTGAACTTGAGAACCACTTACATAAACTATTAACTTTTATTTGGAAGCACATGTAAAGAAGATATTTCCTATTTTTAGTAGCCTATTGGTTATGATCTGTGTGAAAATTTACTTTGTTAAATGGAATCTATGAATCATTGATAAACTATATTTGTTATAAATAGGAAAAAAACCAATATCAGTATGTATATAATTAACATGTTATTATGGCCAACATAAATTTTATCAGTAACATTTACTATGTATCAATAAAATGCCTTTTAATGGCTACTAATTTTTTGCTTTGCCTTCTTTCTGAGCTTTTTCTTTTTTTAACTTAATCATTTACACTTAACGTAGGATAATAGAGTATGTTCACTGTGCATACACAAAAGATTGTCTATATTGTTTGCAGATGGTAGTTTATACTTTATTTTGTGTGACACGGAGGATGATTCTCATGCTTTAATCACATCCCTGGATTATTTTGTTAACTGTTCATAACTATGAGCTAGTTTTCTTTACTCTGTGACATATCTATGCCAAGGGAAAAGACATTTTTTTCAAGTTTATTCATTGAGAAGTAGAAAATAAAATGAGGGACTAATGGTAAATCTGTTTATTATGAAGAATTATTTGGCAGGTACATTGTTTTTATGGGGCAGTTTTAGTGCTTAATCTGCTTATGGTTTTCTGAATTACATCCTTGCAGGTCATATTCAGTTTTTCCTTAACTTCGAATAAGTTTTCTTTTGTAATCATCACTTTCATTGCAGTATTTAAGTGTTTGATAAGGTCATTGTATGGATCAAAAAGATAAATGAACGATACTGCTGCTTCAAGAGTTTAGGGTCTACTGTTCTGTAACTAGTTCAAATGGTTCCCCCTGCTGGCACAATTGATAAAGACGGCCAAATGCAAGTTTAATTGCTTATAAAAACTAAAAATACGTCTAGTTCGAATTTTTCTACCTTTTTGTCACAAAGATTTAACAGTTCATATGTTTTTGTATAGATTTATTGCTCAAATAAATGAAATGACTTAAAAGCACTGGGGACTTAGTTCACTAAATATAGGTTATGAATAATACCCTGTGTTGATATATAGCTCTTAGAACTAGATTATCCGTCATTTTAAGCTAGTATCTATTTATGTGTGTGTATGGGTGTATTTAATGGAGAAAATCAGTGGAAATTTTGTAAGAAATTATTTTATTTACCTTTATTTACTTTAATTTGACTAGAGAGGGACAGAGAGAGAAAGAGAAGGAAAGTGAGAAAGCAGACTAGCAGGTCCAGGACTCAAACCAAGGTCGACCCTGTGGGAGTCCAGCACTCTTAACCACCACGCCACCTGCCTGTCTCAGTAGAAATATTTTTTAACATTCTCTTTCCTTTAATATCTTTGGAACTATTTGAGATGAATTACAGTTTTAAATGATAATTTTGGATATAGATGGATGTTAATTTGCTAATGGGTTAGACTCACATTTGGTAGTAGAATAACTTTCAAAATTTCTGCTTAGGTACTACTTTGAACTACTCTTTTGTATGTGTTTGTAAGTTAATAATCTTAGAAAAAGTACTTTATAGGTAAGCATAATGTCATGAGGATTAGCCAGTTGGGAATATTGATGAAGAATTGAAATTTAAATGTTTTAACCCTTTACTGAAGGAACCTTGTAACCAGTACTTTTGACACATAGTACATGGCTTGTTTTAATATTATTAATTCATGTTTTTGTTAATTTAAAATAGTCCAAACATTTTTGATTTTATAATTTAGCCATTCAGCATTTTTATTAAGCAGTTTTTAAATGGTTTTTGTTTTGCCAGTAAAATTACATATAATTACTGATTTAGTGTTGATTTTTATTTAGATAAACATACATTTTTAAAAGGCAGATATATTTATAATACATATTTAATATTACATATAATAAATATATACATTTATATTACATGTATAGACTTATGGTCCTTGGAAGAATGAACTTACCTTTGTTCTCCTCCTCCTTATGTGCATTAGGCTACTGTGGAGCTGATATCAAGGCCCTGTGCACTGAAGCTGCCCTGATTGCCCTGAGGAGGCGCTATCCCCAGATCTATGCTAGCAGTCATAAACTGCAGCTGGATGTCTCCTCCATAGTGCTCAGCGCCCAGGACTTTTACCATGCAATGCAGAATATTGTGCCCGCTTCCCAACGCGCCGTGATGTCTTCGGGACACGCACTGTCCCCCATTATAAGGCCACTGCTGGAAAGAAGCTTCAACAACATCCTAGCAGTCTTGCAGAAAGTGTTTCCTCACGCTGAAATTAGCCAGAGTGACAAGAAAGAAGGTACTAAAAGCTACTTTTCATATTATAACATAAAACAAATAAGGGCGTAAATGAGTTTCCTTATATGATTATTTGTATGTCTCTCTTTTGCATTTGCCATGAATATGTATGTAAACTATATCTGTTTCATCACCACTGTATATTCCAGGGTTGGCATATTGCCTTGCATGTGGTAGTTGCCTGGCGGATATTTGTAAAATGAATGAATGTTCATTCAATCTTGGGATATTCTGACTGTCTTAAAACAGGAATGTTACTATCTTGAGAAAGCTAATTCTAGTAATTATAGCTTTCCTTTGTTGTTACAAAGCCCTTACATACGTTGTTATTTATTGGTCCTCATAACTGTTTTGGGCTTAGGTATTCTCCTTAAACAGAGGAAGAAATCGGGAGACCTGGGATGATAATCTCTGTAAGGTCATTCAGTAAGTACTGGGTCCTGCTCAGACCTAGACAGCCTGACTCCAGAGCTCACACCCTTACCTGTGTTGCTGTGATGCCTCTCTGGATTCAATCCATTAACTATACTTTGTTTTGATTGGCAGTGCACTCTGTAGTATGCTGGACTCATAGAGTATCAGCTATTGGTAAGGGAGTAAGTTAGATCTTGGGCTTAATTTATCTTGAATTCTGTTAAGCCTCATGATTATACTTTGGACCTGAGATACAAAACAGAAAACTGCCTTTATTTACAGTAAAATAATTAAAAATTTAGCTTGCCATACTAATCAAAGTAAGGCCCATGTACTTTGAGGGGAAAGTAATGTCTTTTGATTATCTTTAAACATTTTTTTAGCATCTGTCATCTAGCTTTGTATCTGTCTGTCTGTCTGTCTGTCTCGCTGTCTGTTGTGATTGCCAAGCCACTGGGTCTGAGACTTGAATTGTGGTCAGCCATGTGGAAATCCAATGCCTCAACTGCCATGTCACTTGCTGGTCTCCATTTTGATCATCTTAGTTTCCCTAGTATTTAGCACTTAGTTTGGCACATAGTCTCTACAAAATATAAAATTATTTTGTATAACATTTAAGCACATAGTCATAGAAGAATCAGGATTCAAAAATTTGAAATTTGAAATGCTTCAAATGCTCAAACTTCTTGAATTTAATATGATGCCATGAGTGGAAAATTCCTTACCTGACCTGAGGTTCTGGTCACAATGCTGCAATACAAAAATACTGTATAAAATTATCTTTGGTCAGCCTATGTGCATAAAGTATTTGTGAAACAGTTGGATCTTTTTTTTTTGAGGGGATAGCGGTTTTTGCTATAGGACACATGCGCTTGCCAGAAAGACAGAGAGAGATAGAGAGACAGAAAGGGAGAAATCACTCTCCGGGGGGATGGCCACACCACAATCCCTTCTTCATTCTTCTCTCGGGATCCTGGGCATGCATGCACATGGTGCCTGGCATGAGTTTAAGCCACCGGGTCCGAGACTCAAACTGTGGTCGGCTAGGTGGGAGTCCAGTGACGTAGCCATTACGCTAACTGCTATTACCACCAGTTGGATCTTGTCTGTAGACTTGAGTCCCTTCCCCAAGATATCTCATTATTATACGCAAATATTTAAAAATCTGGAAAAAATAATCCCAAAATTCAGAATATTTCTGGTTCCAACCTGTATATTAATTCCATTTGTAAATTATTCAGAATACTTATAGTTTGTCAATTTGCCTGGTTAATCTTTATTATTTGATAGATAACTTAATAATTAATGTCAGTTGATTTTTTCTTTAGATTTTTGCCATAGGGCATATGTGCTCGTTGGAAAGAAATGGAGACTGAGAGAGAAGGAAAGTGAGAAATCACACCCCACCCCCACCCCCCGAGGGGATGGCCATCCCAGAATCCCTTCTCCTTTCTTTTCTTGGGATATTGAACACTCATACACACTTACGTATTTTCAAGGCACTGCGTCAAGTACGTGGGATCCAGCTCCTTCACCATTGTGTTTCCTGCTGGCCTAACGCCAGTTGACTTAATTCAGTTTCCTTTAACATTGGTAGGACACTAGTATTAAATGACTTTATAAGCTTTGTAACCCTTGTGATTTTTAATTTTTTTTGGAACAGATATAGAAGCTCTAATTTTAGATGATAGTGAAGATGAGAATGCTTTATCAATTTTTGAGACCAGTTGTCACTCAGGATCACCAAAGAAACAGTCATCAGCTGCTGCTATACATAAACCTTACCTTCATTTTACAATGTGAGTAATTTAGTGTTGTTTTTTGTTTGTTTGTTTGTTTTTGTTTTTTTTTGCTACTTCACAGAATATTTTTTTTTATGGTTATAATCTTGAATTTGTTTTCATGTTTGGATACAGTTCTGGAAAACTTTTACTGTGTATACTTGTTTATGTGGTAATATTTCTTTTTAAAATTTGTTTACATTCATTCACTGTACATCAATACAGTATACAAAATGAGATTTTTCCATCCAGAATGCACTGTATCTTGGCTTGCCATAGGGTGGGCGCCACCGCACCCTAGAATACACTGTATATTGGCTTAATCAAAGGTATTATCATACATGGTATTGTCAATAAATAACTTTTCACTTCTTGTTTCTTATATATTTTGCTTTTTCTCCCCGTTTTCCTATCTCACACCCTCTGCCATTTCCCACATTGTCTCTAGTATGTACAGTTCTTTTCCATGCCTTTTATTTTCACATTTTATTGATTCACTAACGATCTTAATTAATCTAAAAACGTTGAATAACAATCACAGCTGATATATACCTATTTATGAACACATATCTGATTTTAGGTGTAAACCTCCATGCATAAAGTGAACATACTATAAAGTAGCACCTAGCTGGGCTATATAGCTTATTGAAGTCATTAAATAAATATTTTTAATGCATTTTTTAATTTTAAGGAAAACAATTTTACGTTGTTTTTTTTTTTGGCCTTTTTTTGGGAGAGTTTTTTGCTATAGGGCACGTGTGCTCGCCAGCCAGCCAGAGAGAGACAGAGAGATGGAAAGCGAGAAATCACCCACCAGGGGGGATGACCATGCCGCAGTCCCTTCTCCTCCATTCTCCTCTCAGGATCCTGGGCACACACGCACATGCGCCCGGCGTGAGTTTTTTAAGCCACCGGGTACGGGATGCGAACCGTGGTCGACTACATGGGAGTCCAGCGACATAGCCATTACGCTAACTGCTTGTTCCAAATAAAAATAATTCTTTAAAAAAAAGACTTAAAGTCAGGAAAAAGGTTAGAATTCAGTTCAAATAGTAGGTAGATGAAACTATCAACAGTTCAAGAGAAGATAAAAATCCTTAAATATGGAAAACAAAGCATAGAAGAAAATCAGTAATGTTTTAGTCAAAAGTCATAAAATTCTGTTTTACCAGTTCAGTCTCATGTAATTAATCTCTCTTCTATTGAATTTGCAGGGTTACTATGGTCTGATCTTTCCATCTAAACTCTGGGAGTTAACATTCAACTCTGGACGTGTCCCTACCATTAGACTGGCCGTTTTCTTGGTTGTTTTTTGTATTCTTATTTCTGTGTGTCCGACTTTAGTTTTTCTGGTAGAGCACTCCGTTCAGCAGAGCAGGTCTTGGAGAGCTGGTCTGGTGTTGGTAAATTCTTTCAGGTTTTGTTTATCTGAGAATGTTTTTGTCTTTTTTTCCCATATGAAGGATAATCTTGCTGGGTACAGTATTCTTGGTTGGAATTGTTTTTCACTTAACACTTTGAATATATTTTCCCATTCTTTCCTTGCTCACATTGTTTCTGATGAGAAGTCCAATGTTAGTCTGATGTGATATTCTTTGAAAGTTTCTTGATGTTTCTCTCTTGCCACTTTCAGTATCTTGTCTCTGTGGTTTTGGTCAATCTTGCTATGATATGCCTTGGAAAAGATCTTCTTGGGTCGATTCTATATGGGGTCTTCTGTATTTCTTGGGTCTAGGTATTTGAATGTCTCTCTAGGTTTGAAAAGTTGTCTTCCAGGATTTCATGGAATAGATTATCAATGCCTTTATTATTTTTTCACCTTCTGGGATACCGATACAGATATTTGGGCATTTAATGAACTCTAGTATTATTCATATATTATCCTCTTTTTGGGGGGGGTTATTTTCTGTTTTTTTGGTCAATTTTTTCTAGGTCAGAGGTTCTATTTTCTACATCTGAGATTCGATCTTCTATATGATCTAATTTGCTTTTAATACATTTCCTGTATTATAGCCTTCTAACAGTTCTGTTTCTTTTTTATGGTATTTCCTCTTTCAGATAGTGTAAGAACTTCCTCACCTTCTAGAACTCATTGTCTCTTTTCTCCTACATCATCTGGAGTTTGTTGTCTCTTTTCTCTTGAATCTCTGTTAGCTTTGTCACTATGAACATTTTAAATTCTTCTGATATTTCCACAAGTTTCCTTATATTTGTCTGTAGAAGATGAGTAATTATTTTTCCTTAGGGGAGAGATATTTTCTTAGTTTCTCATATTTTTTGTGCCTCTGTGGTGACTTCTGGTCATCTGATGAGTTATATGTTTTTTCCTAGTTTTTGGAGTTATATCTGAGCATTCAGAGGCATGCAGGAGGAGGTGACCTGCAATCTCTAGACAGTACCATTTTTCTCCCTTCATGCAGTAGATTCCATGGAAATTGAAGATTAATCTGACCCTAAAAGTATTCAGATATCTGTCTACTGTGCCTAGACCTGTCTAGAAACTCAGTGTGTGGAGGCTGAGCAGAACAGTGAGAAAGGTAAAAAGAAAAGGAAAAGAAACAATTTTTTAAAAAAGGGAAAAAAGAAGATAAAAACAAAAAAGAGAAAAATTATTTTAAAGCTAAAAATGAAAGGGACTGCTCAGAACTCAGATAATAGACGGCTGGTGATTGGCTTGGCCTGTGTGGGTTGGGGGAGATTTAAGAATTAGCAAGATAAAAGAGCAGCAGAGAGTTAAGAAGTTAAAAAAAAAATTTTAATTAAAAATAAAGAGAGATGGATAGAGACAGAATAAATAGGTTGCTCTAACCTGGCTAGATCTGGGGGGGCAGGAGGGTAAAGTCTGGGCAGAAGATCTTTTTTTTTTTTTTTTGGGAGGTTTTTCACTATAGGGCGCATGTGCTCGCCAGACAGACAGAGACATAGAG